CATATATATGTAAGGCCTGGCCCTTGGTTCCATGATTAAGAAAGCAGTACCCATCATGGTTGACCACAGTTCAAATCCCAGCCTGGCAGCTTGAAAAAGCATGTCAAATGTGTCTAAGTGCAAGCCCCAAATCCTAACAGGATGGAGAAATAGGGGAAGACAGATTGGCATCACCATGCCCCATTGGGAGGTGCTTTATCCCTTTCTGTCTCTGGTGAGTATACACATCCTCTGGCAATTAGAAAACAAATACGTGTGTGTGTGTATGTGTCTATATTTATATGTATATAAACTTACATAGCCACCTGTGGCTAAGGACACTATATTGGGTATACAATTTTAAAGAACTGGAGAGAAATATTTGCATCTTAAATACTGGTTCATATACTAAAAAGTCCTGTGGATGGGCACAAACATAGATGCTTCTGAGACATGTTTTTTGTTTATTAGTTCTTGTGATATATATAGAGAGAAGAGGTCTATAATATAATAATGTTGCTAAATTTGTGGTAACTACAGTTTCTGTGATTATCTGGTAAGGACGAAAATATTGGTTCCCAAGGTGGCTACATGTTGTAACATTTTTTTGTTTGTTTTAAAGAATGATTTCACTTAACTTTATTTATTTATTTTAATTTGACTAGAGAGGGACAGAGTGAGAGAGGAAGAGAGGGAAGTGAGAAAGCAAGCTGTCAGGTCCAGGACTCAAACCACAGTCGGCCATGTGGGAGTCCAGCACCCTTAACTACCACGCCACTGCTGGCCTCGTACCTTTTTTTTAAATGAGATTTTTGCTATAGGGCATGTGTGCTATCTGGAGAGACAGAGAGAGACAGAGACAGAAAGTGAGAATTTACTCCCCAAGAGAGATGGTCACAGTGCAATCCCTTCTCATCCATTCTCCTCTCAGAATTTTCGACATGCACGCACATGCACCTGGCATGAGTTCTAAGCCTCTGGGTCCGGGACTTGAACCACGGTCAACTATGTGGAAGTCCAGCAATGTAACCATTATGCCATCTACTGGTCCCATAACTTCTTAAAGAGCATCTGAAATATGAATCTCTATTCTCACTCCCAAAGGTGCTGGTTTAATTTGTCTGAGTGGAGGCCAGGGCATTGAGATTGTTGAAAACTATCTGAATGATTCTAAGGTACAGTTATAGATGAGTACTACTACACTAGAACAAAAATAAACTGTTTACTGGGCCGGCAAGTGGCATAGAGGTTGACATGCTGGATGTAATTTACACATTCTACACACGGAAGAATAATTTGGGTAGACAGTCATAAGTTTTTGTGATTATTAATGCCATTTAATTTTATAAATGAGGTTAGCAAGGGAGGAAGCAAACTAAATGCTGAGTGTCAACCTGTACTCATCGTTTGCATATGTTACACAATTTCATTCTCAAAATATCTTGAGAGATGGGCATTATTAAATTATTTATGGAGTCTCTCTCAAAACATAAAAGTAAAGATAATAAAAGCAACTTAAAAAACTTCTCTAGGGGATAGCTGGTGGCATGGTGGTTGAGGCAACTGAATTCCACATGGCCAACTGTGTGGTTTGAGTCTCAGACTCAGAATCTTGAAAAATATGTGGAGAGCATGTGCGCGTTTCCAAAATCCCGAAGTGAGTGAGGAATGTAAGAGGAAGCACCCATTGGGGATGCTTTCTCACTTTCTCCTCTCCATGCCTCTCTCTGGCAAGTGCACAATACCCTCTAGCAAATTAAAAAAAAAAAAACGTCTCTGGGACATTTATTTCTCAGGCAATGAAGTCTTCCACACTGCTTTTACTATTGGAGAAGGTTTCTCTTTAATAAGGCATTGTGTTTCAGAAAATTTTCACTTTCCAATGTGAAAACAAAACAAAAAATTGAAAAAGCAGGTGTTAAACTAAGCACTGAAAAGTAGTGGTGGATTTCAAAATGAGGCAAACCACACATGCACGAGCAATTATTCTTATAGTTCCTACGCATCCGATAGCAAACTCTGAGGGAAACATTAATTGTGTGGTTCAAATCTACATTAGCCTCCATAGCAGATCATTTAGGAGGTGCTATCTTTTTTTATCCTAAGAAATTAAACAACTCCTCTCCTACTGCCTCACAAACTAGTGACAATAACATTCTTGGGAACAGGCTGAGGCAAGACAAAACAAGATGCTTAGTCACAGTGCCTGATACTAACTGGGAATAAGATAAGGGTCTTAAAGATGTTTTCATTCTCCCCTCCATAAGTTCAGAAGATGATTGGAACTCACTACTCCCAAAACAGTTTACAGGGCAGTTTTGTTATGACAGATTTATAGTGACTACAAAACTTTAATTTTTGCTTAGGCTCTTGGATGTCCTTATATTAATTTGCTCATTAAAGTTCTTTTTAAAATGTAGCTCCTGAGTTGTTCAACCCATGTTTATTTACAGTTCAAGAGAAAAAGATTTTCAGAAAAAAGGGGGGGGGAGGAGTTATCCAGAGCAACAGATCTTACTCTTCCCATTAGCATAAATTCTTCTGTCTTGAAACCCAGTACCTTTTCTTCTTTCTTAGACCGGTACCTTGTAAAACGACATGAACTCACATGAGTCATATTTGGTTGCATCATACATCTGATAGGAGAATACTTTCAACTCACTATCCTAATTAATGGCACAGACTTCTCCCAAAGCATATTCTAAAGAAAGAATCTGTATGATGGGAGTAACTCCTAAAGGCACTGGCTTGGTAAATGTGTTTCTTTTCAATTTTGGGTGTTATTAATTATAAGTTAATTATATGATTAAAAATGTTCTGTAGCTTATTAAAAAAAACATTCTGTTAGAAGATGAGGAGAGGAAAGAAAATACTCTCTGAAAGGTTGAATATCTCTCATCTGAAATGATTGAGACCTGAAGTGTTTCAAATTTAGGATTTTTCTTTTTGATTTTGGAATATTTCAACACAAAATGAGATATCTTGGGAATGAGATATCCTGGATGTCTAAATACAAAATTCGCTTCTGTTTCATATACACCTTATATACATAGCCTAAAGGTAATTTTATATAATGATGCATTTTCAGCATTTTTACTGTGACCTGTCACATGAGGTCAGGTGTGAAATTTTCCACTTGTGGCACTGTGTTGGCACTCAAAAAGTTCTGGATAGTGAAACATTTTGAGTGTCAGATTTTTGGAACTAGGGATGCTCAGTCTGTAGTAGTTTATCCCTTACAGTCTTCTTTTCAGTATATTTGGGGCTGAACAACAAGAGGAGTTAGAAAAATACACAACACAGGAGAAACTACAATGATGCCCCATCCAATTTTTACCTATTAAAGGAGGAACAAAGTAAGATTCGTTTTTCTTGATAGTAAAAGATACATAAATTCCATTTATTTAAAGAGTAATACCAATCATCTACCCCACAACAAGTTATTTACCAATTCTCATATTCTTGTTCTGCATTCAAGAGGCATCCAAAAAAAAAAAAAAGAAAGAAAGAAAGATAATGTAAGTTTTACAACTTCATCCGTGTATGTGTGTGTGTGTGTGTTATTTGTGATCTGAAAAGCCATTTATATTTCTGGATGCTGGAAATCACCCTCCAAAAAGTAAATAGGCTTTATATACAAGTAAAAAATTTGTTGGGACAAATATAAATTCAAAGATAAACCTACATAATGGTAAAAGAAGTCATAATTTTCTAATGTAAAAGTAAAAAGCACTATAAAATTGTCCTTTATCTTAATAACTAACACTACATATTTTTCTATTTTTAATTCCAGCTTCCATCCTACCCTCTCCTCCCCCACATACTCCCACAAAGGCTCTAGAACATCAAAGTTAGAACACAATGTTATGAAAAAAGTATAATTAACGTAGGATTAAGGAAAAATAGTCAATATACCTCTGTATAAATTTACTGAATTAATATATTATATATTAGTATATTTTTAGCATGAACTTGCTAAAAAAATGCTCCCAGCGATATTAAAATGATACATGATTTGTATCACAGCACCACCACAAGCAGCCAATGATCATGAAGCAAATTTTCACCTTGACTCTGCCAACCCAGTCATCAAGAATTTGGGAAAATAACAACTCTTGTTTCATAATACAACGACTTTTATTTTTATCCATCCTCTAGTAAACTCTCCTGATAAAAGATTTAAAATCTTACTAATTAGTTACCACTGCCCTTCTTCCCACAGATTAGGTGTCCTACATTTTGTTTAGGTCCCGCCTTGAAAACAAACCCGATTGCCCCATTTTCTGAGAGGTAAACTCAGCTCCAGGCAGCTCCCTATGAAGTCACCGCGTTTGTTGTTCCAAAGATGTAATTAAACGAAAATGACACAAAGCTGTCCAAGAGATTAGTTGGAAGTGTGTGGAGCTGTCGATCATACCCAGGTGTAAGACTAATGAAAACTGTGTTGTTGTAAATCTCTCCGTGTAATATTTCGCCACATCCTCTTTTCTCCAAGATATTCACAACAGAAGGAAATGAAACTTCCCAAGGATTTTCTTGACTTTGGCTTAACTTTAGCTTTGCAGCTTTCTGCGCGTATAGTAGCATGTAATGAGCATGGGGATGAGTGAAGGGTGGCGAAGGGAGTTTAAACTAGAGCAAGAAGTAATACAAGTTTGGCATCAGGCAGTCTCTCCCCCGACTCCTCTTCCCCCTACCCACCCCCTCGTCTCCGAGCCCTGACACAGACACATTCTTCTGGGCGGCCTCTAACCACACCATCTCCACAATCATTTACAGAAATTAGAAACAGATTCCGGGAGCCCTTCCCTTAGCACGCACAGAGCACGACTGCACAAGCCTGATGGGGCACTGTCACTCCCGATGACCCCACAATCTCTTTCCCCTCCTCTGAGGTTTCATATCCCAGGTATCCCGCTTTCTCCTGCAGAGATGAATCGACCTAACTCGCAAGGAAATTTCGTCTCATCCCTCCCCACTCCAGCCACCCCGCCCCCACTCTAACAGACAAAAACACCCACCACCAAAAGCAGAAAGTTCCTTCCACCAGGGCAGCAGGAGCTGCGCCGAGGGGCCGAGCACAAGCGAGAGGAGTGGACGAGTGAGGTGGACTTTGCTTTGCACTTCTGCACATCCAGTCCCGAGCCCAGGGCCACACCCCTTCTCCCCGGAGCGGCTGCGGGCGTGGGCTGACGGAGCTGGAAAAGGAGCCTGGGGAAGGGGAGAAGAGGAGCAGCATCTCCTCCTCCTCCTCCACGCCTCGGAAATGCCCCTGCAGCGGCGACCCCGGCCGACTGCCTGACCTCAGAACGCTCGCGCGCTGTGGCCGCCCTACTGCGCTCCGCGCTCCCCCAAGAGCTTCGCGGAAACTCTCTGGTGCGGGCGACTCAACTCCTCCAGCCGGCTCTAGGCGCTACCCAGGCAGCTGAGGCGGACCGGGGGGCCAGGGAGTGCCAGGGAGTGCTGCTCGGCAGCACGACGGTCTCCCGAGCCCGCGATCATGGTGTGTCACCCTGGCCGCCTCGCGGCCGCGGGAGCTCCTCTCCGGGCTCCGGCTCCACCTCTGGCTGCCACGCCGGCCCCGCCTCCCACCCTGTCACTCAACCCTTCCCGGGCCCTGGAAGGACCCCAGCGTTCCGATCCGGCACGCCCCTCGACCTCATTGGCCCGCCTGGCGTCCAGCTCCGCCCTCTCCCCTGGGACGAGGTCGCCCGGGAGACCAGCGGCCCGGTTCCCATGACAACCGGCGCCTTGGGCCTGGCTTTTCGCGTTCCTTCGACTAGCCGGACGCTCAGGTTGATGGCCGAGCGGCAAAGTTCCTGGCCCTGTCAGTGTGGAGTCCTACTTTAAGGCCACTTTGCAAAGGCGACCGGCGGCCCCCACACGTCCAACTCCAGCAGCAGAACCTTAGGGCCCTGGGAGCGCGGGGACCTTGCGGCCCGGCGCTGCGGGTCTCCCCGCTCCTCTCACCCCTCCCCCGCCCGCTCGGCCGCTCTCCACGTTCTCACCGGGCGACGGGCTTTGAAAGGGTGAGGAGAAGGGGAGAGAGG